AGGCAGAGAGAGAGAGAGGAGGAAGCAGGCTCCCCACAGAGCAGAGAGCCCGATGCGGGACTCGATCCCAGGACCCTGAGATCATGACCTGAGCCGAAGGCAGAGGCTTAACCACTGAGCCACCCAGGTGCCCCTAAAGAGTTTTTATTTTTAAACCAATTGTTAAAAATCTTAAAATGCAGTATCTTTTGATTATGTTGTAAGAACAATTGATTGACATGAGGAAAGATGGAAATTTATTAGCCAAAGTTCAACAAAAACTTTTGCTAATTGATGGAAGTTATTGAAAAACGAAAATAGTATGAGCGATGTATTTTAAAAATTTCAGTTCTTACGTTTTTGCAGTTATCCCTTTCTCAACTAAACCGCCATTGCATGTAAATACTGAAATATTTGGAACCTAGGACCTGACATTTCAATTACTGAATGACAAATACTTAAATAATAATATAATTTCATTTGTTATTTTCATTATTATCATCATTGTTTCACTAAAAGTGTTAGGTTTTTATGAGAATGAAAAGATCTGGGGGCACTTGGGTGGTTCAGACAGTTAAGTGTCGGAATCTTGATTTTGGCTCAGGTCATGATCTCAGGGTAGTGGGATTGAGCCCTGCTTTGGGCTCCCTGCTCGGTGGGGAATCTGCTTGAGAGTCTCTCTCTTCCTCTGCCCCTCCCCCTTGCCCCGGCTCAGGCTCTCTCTCAAGTAAGTCTGTATTTAAAAAAAAAAAAAAAAAAAAAAAAGACCTGGGGATGCCTGAGTGGCTCAGCCAGTTAAGTATCTGCTTTTGGCTCAGTCATGATCTCCAGGTCTTGGCATCGAGCCCCATATCAGGCTCCTTGCTCAGCAGGGAATCTGCTTCTCCTTCTCCCTCTGCCTCTCCCCCTGCTCATGCTCTCTCTCTCTGTGTCTCTTTCTCTGTATGTCTTTCTCAAATGAATGAATAAAATCTTAAAAAAAATATGTGCAACAAATAAGATATGAGGGGCACCTGGGTGGCTCAGTCAGTTAAGTGTTTGCCTTTGGCTCAGGTCATGATCTCGAGGTCCTGGGATGGAGCCTCACATGGGGCTCCCTGCTCAGCGGGGAGTTTGCTTCTCCCTCTCCCTCAGCCACTGTCCCCCCTCACGTCCCCCACCCTGTTCATGTGTGCTTGTGCACATGCTGTCTCTCAAATAAATAAATAAGATCTTTAAACAAAATAGGGGTGCCTGGGTGGCTCAGTTGTTAAGCATCTGCCTTCAGCTCAAGTCATGATCCTGGGGTCCTGGGATCAAGCCCCGAATTGGGCTTCCTGCTCAGTGGGAAGCCTGCTTTTCTCTCTCCCACTCCCCCTGCTTATGTTCTCTCTCTGTCAAATAAACAAATAAAAATAAAAATAAACCTTTAAAAAAAAGGATATGAAACTATTTTAAATGCTTATTTTAAATGTTTTAATCCCTACTTTATATATGCTTTATATTGTATAGAATGTATTAGTAAAATAGTATGTATATAATAAATATGTGTACATTGGAAGACCATAATAAATTTTGTTTGTTTTTGGTTGGTCAGACTATGTAATCAAAAAAGTTTGGAGACCCCTTTCCACTGATGACTCATGATCTGGCAAATTGTTATTGGTATCAACAATTTATTCTGAAAGTCTAAATCACTGTTTAGAGATTATAATAAATCAGCACATGGTTTCTAACTTGTGAGCTTTTGTTTTTTAATGTTGAGCCTTGATAAATGAAGGTTAGCTTTAGTTTAAATTTTTAGACTATGGTTCTCAAAAGTGTACAACAGCATAAACATCACCTGGGAATTTATTAGAAATGTAGATTCTCAGGCCACATCCCAGACCTGTGAACCAGAGATGCCGGTTAATAAGCTTGCCAGGCAATTCCAGTGCTCACTTGTTTGAGAACCACTGGCACAAGCGATGTAGACTCATGGGTCATCCCTGCTTATTTCTCCCTACTACTTCATGATGTATTTAAGACAGTTTATTCAAATATTTATAGTCTAAGTCTTAGCTCAGACTTTTTCGTCTCTGAGATTTTTTTTCTCTCTTCCTTCCCTCTTGTTCTTTCCCTTCCTTTGTGAAAAATTGTGTTACAATTATTAGTGTTACTTTTACAAAAGGTATAGTGTTTCGGTTCTTAATATTTGGATGCGGCAGCCAGTGTGACAAATAGCATATGTTTAAAGGGGATATATATATATATACACACACATACACACACACACACACACACACACACATATTTATATATATATATATTTTAAAGACCATTTATTTATTTATTTGACAGAGAGACAGAGAGAGTGAACGAGGGAACACAAATAGGGGGAGCGGGAGAGGGAGAAGCAGGCTTCCCTCAGAGCAGGGAGCCCCATTTGGGGCTCCATCCCAGGACCCTGGGATCATGACCTAAGCTGAAGGCAGATGCTTAATGACTGAGCCACCCAGGCACCCCTAAAGGGGATTTTTTAAATAACATTTTCAAATTAATTTTTTTAAAATATTTTATTTATTTATTTGACAGAGATCACAAATAGGCAGAAAGGCAGGCAGAGAAAGAGGGGGAAGCAGGCTCCCTGCCGAGCAAAGAACCTGATGCAGGTCTCCATCCCAGGACCCTGAGATCATGACCTGAGCCGAAGGCAGATGCTTAACACATTGAGCCACCCAGATGCCCCTCAAATTAATTTTTATTCATTACTTCTAGTTGTACTTGAGAATTTCCTATTTTTTTCCATCTCTATCCTCTTGATTTCCAAATTTTGTAATCTTAGAATAGCTTTCACCAACTAAAATTTCAAAACACACTTCAAAGTATGAATCACCTAGAGTCAACCATTGTTGAATTTTGTTACAGTTGCTTAATCTTTCTCTGTACACACACACACACACACACACACACACACACACATTTTTTTTTGCTGAAGCATTTGAAAATAAATTGTATACATCAGTACTCTTCACTCCTAAATTCTTTACTGTTCACAATAAAGATCAAAGTAGCTTTTTAAGGGACTAGTACAAAATTGTTCTAAAAGGCCAACGCATAAGAAATGCTAAACCAATTATTAAAGCCTCTTAAATATTTTCAAGTTCCTTTTATAAATGTCTTAATGAGAAAAAGATACATAACTCCCAGTTCTAAATGTGTATATGCACCCTCTAGCCTCTCTTAACCAAAGCTTTTCATTTGAACTACAGAACACAGAGCATGATTTGAATGACTATTTTCTCATTTTTCCCCAAGATGGTATCTAGTATCAATTAGGACATATAGGGAAGGACTTAATTCCTTACAATGGATGTATTAGAATATTTAAGGGACATTCTAAGGAATGTTAAGATTTATTAAGGAACTCCAGGAACCCAGGTTAATGGGACTGTGCAAGTGTCAAGTTCTTAAAAGGATTTTGCTTTGACTACTTGTGATATTTATGTAAGTAATTTTTTTTTTTTTTTTTTAGATTACAGGCCCACCAGGTTGTGGAAAAACTCAGTTTTGTTTAATGATGAGCGTTTTGGCCACGTTACCCACCAACATGGGAGGATTAGAAGGAGCTGTTGTGTACGTCGACACAGAGTCAGCATTTAGTGCTGAAAGGTGGGAGATTTAATTCTTTTCCATTGTAATGTCCTATTTTATAACTTATTTATAGCATGTAACATTTTCAAACAGGTTAACATTTACCTTTTCTTTGTGAGAATGCAGAATGTTAGATGTTGTTTTAAATGAATTTTCCTTTTAAGATTAACACAGGAAGCAGTTTCTTTTTGTCTTTTCTATCCCTTTGTCATTGGCTTAAGTGAGATTCCTAGATAAGCTGTGTTTTGCAGAAAGTCAGGAAAAAAGTTTAAGAAACAGAGGGAAGGATGTTAAGTAGAAATGGGGAAGAGGGAAATTTAATTAAAAAAGGCAAAAGGTAAGGTGCTTTGTAACTCATTTCTAGTTGAGAGTAAAATATTAGTGAATGGAAAAGTTGCACATTTCAAAATACATTTTGATTGAGAAGTATTTCACTTTAATCTTTGCAACAGTATGTTATTCAACATAAACACACTGATAGTGTATCTGTGCTTGGGAAGGAAAGATTTCCTAATTTGGAAGGGACCTTTAACATTCTATGGGAGGCATTTGGTTATTTGGGTAATTCTGTACATCTGAAAATAAGTTTGGTCCTCCTCCTCCCCTGCTCTGATTAACCTTCATGAGCAAGAGTACTTATAGGTCTGGAGACTGATTCAATTCTGTTCTTTTAGTCAAGGCGTAGTATAGGTATAGTCCTTTGAGTCTGTCTTTAACTGTGTCATTATGTCTCTCTCTTATTTCTCTCTAAGGATACTAGTTAGATCGAAGTGTATTCCATGACCAGATAAGTTCCAAATGGATTATTTTGCCTGGAATTTATTTTCTTTGTTCTGTATTGCTTGTTATCTATTTTCAGCATATGCCATAAGTTTGTCAGCTTTGTGAGTTTGTGTTATATCTTTGTATCTTCAAAGCCAAATCTAGTGACTGACACACATTAAGTGCGCAGAAAATGTTTGATAATGAATGGACAGGCATTACTCTCAAATTGTGAAAACCAGACACCATTTCCTACTAAAAGGAATGAGGGTTTTGGGGAAATGGCTGCTTCTAGCACTGGTGCAGGAAATTTTTAAGTTGAGTCTGAAACATATCAGATGACCAGGAAGTTATCAAAGACCACTTAGGACTCAGGAGTCAACCTGAACAGGTTCCCACTGGCCAAAGATGAGACACACTGACCACGAATAAGATAATAATGACAGTAGATTAAAACTTGTGAACTATGTTTAAATTCATAAATCTGTAATATAAAGAAATGAAAAGCAGCTAATTGGCAGTATAGGAAACTTTAGAGAAGTAACTCGTTAGTTTGAAAATGAGTTGAGAAAAAAGGAAATCAAACATCTATTCTTTTTCTATATGAACTATATTACTGAGTAACAAATAGGTCTTTTTACAGGAGTATTCCAGCAATAATAAATGAAGAAGGACTGATAGAATATCATCAAATTAAAAACCCCAGCAATCTAATGGACCTAGGCATTGAATACTGTGATATAATAAGAAATCCGTATTTTGTCTTTGTCCTGGTTCTTGGCCAAAGAGCTTCTAAAACCTTTGGAATTTCCCAAGTTAATAGAGGTGCCAGGCGTATCATTTGTTATTCATAATCAGCACCTTTCAAACATACCTGAGCTTATGCTAATGTGATTATTTTTGGTGGGGCCCTGGAAAGCTTCAGATGGGAGTTGGTGGCCAGTCACGTGATTATAGAGTGGGAACTTTCAGCTTCACCCATTCCTCCCAGCCTCTGAGGAAGGGAAAGAGGCTGGTAACTGGTTAATTGCCAATGGCCAGTGCTTTAATCAATAATGCCTATGTAATGGGATCTCTACAAAAATCTCCACATGATAGGGTTTGGAGAGCTTCTGGGTTGGTGAATACAAGGTGCTGGGAAGGTGGTGTGCCATGGAGCCCTCCCCAATCTTTTCTTGAGTTGTATCTTTTATTCTTGTAATAATTTGGTAATAGTAAGTAAAATGCCTTCCTGAGTTCTTTGCACCATTCTAGCAAAATTATTGAACTTGAGGAGGGTTGTGTGGGAACTCCTATTTTGTAGTTGCTCAGTGGGTCAGAAGTAGTAGTAGTATTAATAGTCCCAGAGGTCTAGGACTTGTGATTCAGGCCTTGACGTGGGGTGGGGGGCAGTCTTGTCGGTCTGAGCCCTTAACCTGTGGAGTCTGAGCTAACTCCTGATAGTTAAGTGTCTGATACCCAGTTGATGTCGATAGGGAATTAAAAAATTGCTCGGTTATGGAAAACTCAAATATTTGATGTCAGAAGTATCATGAGTGAAAATAGCTCATAAACATAAAGGCTTAACATCACAAAAAGAAAACTACTCATTGTGGTACCTCCTGACGGAAGACTAGTCAAGCCTGAGTGTGATCAAGCTTTCAGACCCAACTACTAGTTTACAGCATATATAGAGAAGAGAGGAACATGTTAAACAATACCAGAGAGATGTAATCTGAACTGTGGCAAATGACAGAACAAATGATTCTTGGAGTTAGAGTTGGAGGAGGAACCTTTGGATTAAAAGGGATTTGAAAGGTATATTGCTGTCATCACATTGTATGCCTTAAACCTACACAATGTTATATGCCAGTTATATCTCAATAAAGCTGGGGAAAAAAGATGTATTGGTCAGTTCCAATGTGATGAACTTATTTGGATCTTAAATAAATGGTAAAAAAGAACGAAAGCATAAGTATATGAGACCACTGGAAATCTGAACACTGAAATACATTTGATGCTAACACTGATAATCAAGACATTGGTTCACTCAGGTTGTCCAAATGAAATGTACTGTTTAAAATGCCAGTGACTAACCTTCAACAAGCTAAAGGAAAGTTGGAAATGAGGTAAAATTTTAGTCCCTTTATTGGAATTTTATTTCTTCCCCCTTTTTTTTTTTTTTTAAGATTTTATTTTTGAGTAATCTCTACACCCAGTGTGGGGCTCAAACTCAAAACCCCAAGATCTAGGATTGGTTGCTCTACTGACTGAGGTAGCCAGGTGCCCCTGGAATTATGTTTCATAATTTACAGGGAACCTTAATGAAGGTCATTGGAGGATAGGGGTTGAAATTTACATTGTTTTTACTTTTCTAGTCTGTTCTGCACAGGCTGGAAGAGTATGGTCATCTGGCTGCCACATGGATTGCGTTCTGAGGTGTGGTGATAGGGTCAGGTGGAATCAAAAGTACCAATCCTCCTTCTGGAGTAGCTCCTTCTCCTTCTGGAGAGTTCGTCATGGGAGGTCAGAGACTGGCGATGGCTCTGTACTGCCTGGTCCTATTTCATTTGTGCTATTACAGCTTGACCCCTATTTAGATTTATTGAGGGAAGGTTAGTTAATCAGTTAGGAAAGCTTTCTGCTGCAATACCCACAGAGCAGTGAGTAGGTGGTTGCGGGCACTGATCGGGCCGAGCAGTGATGACAGGGAGACCTAGTAGGGCTGGGGCATTCCCAGTCAGTGGGAAGGGAAATGCCAGCTATCTGTTTTATCAGGAAAATATGTTTTTCAGAATAGCTGTCTCCTTCCCTCTGCTGATTTCCTTTTCATCCTCTGGAATTGTCATGCAGATTTCTCACTGAGACACCCCTATATGCAAGGGAGGGTGGGGAAAGGAGGGGGAAAAGATTGTTATAATAAGTATGATAAGTTTCCTAGGGCTGGTTAACATGGCTGCCTGAGTAAAATTGGGGTTCTCATAGTAAAGAAGAAGTGGGGATAGATATTGGTAGGTAATTAGTGTGTCTGTCACCACTGGGATCATTTCTGGACTTAGAGAAGAGGTAACAGCATGGAAAATGAGACTCAAAGAAGAATATGTTTTAGCTTTTTGTATGCCTCTGTATGTAGCAGTGTCTTCATTTTGTGCATACAAGCAAGCTGTCTTATCAGCACAAATGAGAACGTGAGTTGAAGGATTATTCTGAGGAAGGTTAAAGGATTTGTGTAAAGGGGCGCCTGAGTGGCTCAGTCGGTTGGTTAAGTGCCCAGCCCTTGATTTTGGCTCAGGTCATGATCTCAGGGTCATGAGATTGAGACGCACATCGAGCTCCATGCTGGGCATGGAGCCTGCTTAAGATTATCTCTCTCTCCCTATAACCTTCCCTGTCCCCCATCCCTCTCCCTCTTGCTCTTAAGAAAAGAAAACAAAACAAAAAACTCAATTTGCGGGGCGCCTGGGTGGCTCAGAGGGTTAAAGCCACTGCTTTCGGCCCAGGTCATGATCCCAGGGTTCTGGGATGGAGCCCCGGCATCGGGCTCTCTGCTCAGCAGGAGGCCTGCTTCTCTTCCTCTCTCTCTGCCTGCCTCTCTGCCTACTTGTGATCTCTGTCTGTCAAATAAATAAAATCTTTAAAAAAAAAAACTCAATTTGCTTATAGAGAATTTAGGGTAAATGATACAAAGTGGAAAATAATTGTAATTTTTAATTTTAATAATAAATTGCAAGTTACCTTTTGTTATCAAGAAGGAGGGAAAAAAAGGAGGAGTAAATAAAACTGTGTAAGTTTAAAATGCATTAAAAGAAAATAAGAACCTTGCAGTTGATGTATTTAAAAACATTTTGGAAAGATTAGTTATATATATATACTTTATATATATGAAATTATATATTTATTTATATATAAAGTTATTTATATATTTATATATATTTTAGTTATATATATACACTTTAAAAGCATATATATATATATGCTTTTAAAGATTATTTATTTTAGATAGAGTGGTATAGAGAGAGCATGTACATGCACAGTGGGGAAGGGCAGAGGGAGAGGGAGAGAGAGTCCTAAGTAGACTTGGCTCCAGAGCCTGTCTTGGTGGGGCTCGATTTCATGACCCTGAGATCATGACCCAAGCCAGAAGATACTGAGCGTTGGTCACTCAACCAACTGTGCCACCAAGGCACCCCAATTAGTTTTGTTTTTTAAAGCAATACACCAGTGTATTTTTATATATCTTTGAGAAGATAATCTAAAATAGTATGTTAAGTATGCTT